TCTGGTTTGTTTTGTGTTTGTATTTTTAAATGTATTTATATGATGTTGTGTGAGCTTATCTCTCTGTACAGCACTTTGGTCTGAAGGTTTTTAAAGTGCTATAAAGTTGGATTGTCTTGTTTCAGATTCAGAAACAGGTTCATTGCCAAGTAGGTTAACACATATGAAGAATTTGTCTTGGAGTCGATGGAGCACACAGTTAAAGAACACAACAAGTAAGAAAAACAACCATAAAATCTAAACAGCTTATATCATATTATACTCAATACATTCAGGATTTTGGACAAAGAAAAAAATGTTTCAATCAATGAATGCAGAAACTAATCAGCAGGTTAATCTGTAACGAAAATAATCATTAGTTGTTGCCTTTATCTGCAACCCTAAATAAGTAAAATAATAATATTTAGGGTTCCCATACTGAAGACCATGCTGACGAACATCATCATAAACCAAAACATATGATTTTATAAAGGAAATGTTAGCATGTGTGTCTGAAGAGTACCGTAATTGCACTATTGTCAGATGTTATTATCTGTATTAGATTAGATTCAACGTTTTCGAGTACATGTACTGACAGAACAAAATGTAATTAGCATCTAACCATAAATCCAATGTGGTGCTTTTTGTCTTAGCCTGCCCTCATGTCTTTATTTCAGCTTTCTCAAATACTCTGTAGAACAAAGTCTGTGTCGGACCAGCAGGGGAGGTGTGTGTGTGTGTGTGTGTGTGTGTGTGTGTGTGTGTGTGTGTGTGTGTGTGTGTGTGTGTGTGTGTGTGTGTGTGTGTGTGTGTGTGTGTGTGTGTGTGTGTGTGTGTGTGTGTGTGTGTGTGTGTGTGTGTGTGTGTGTGTGTGTGTGTGTGTGTGTGTGTGTGTGTGTGTGTGTGTGTGTGTGTGTGTGTGTGTGTGTGTGTGTGTGTGTGTGTGTGTGTGTGTGTGTGTGTGTGTGTGTGTGTGTGTGTGTGTGTGTGTGTGTGGCCTAGCATTACTATACTTGTGGGGACCTACATCTGTTTGCACAGTCACGTGTGGGGACTCGCTTCCCTTATGGGGACAAAATGGAGGCCCCCATAAGGGGAATCATTCATTTTAGGGTGAATACTTGGTTAGGTTTAGGATTAGGTTAAGGGTAAGGGTTAGGGTTAGGCATGTGTTGGTTATGGTTAAGGTTAGGATAAGTCTCCAGGAAATGCATGTAAGTCAATGTAATGTCCCCTGAAGTTGTGTGTGTGTGTGTGTGTGTGTGTGTGTGTGTGTGTGTGTGTGTGTGTGTGTGTGTGTGTGTGTGTGTGTGTGTCTGTGTGTGTGTGTGTGTGTGTGTGTGTGTGTGTGTGTGTGTGTGTGTGTGTGTGTGTGTGTGTGTGTGTGTGTGTGTGTGTGTGTGTGTGTGTGTGTGTGTGTGTGTGTGTGTGTGTGTGTGTGTGTGTGTGTGTGTGTGTGTGTGTGTGTGTGTGTGTGTGTGTGTGTGTTGGCTGCTGAAAATGGAGCTCAGAGTGGCTCCTCCGACCCCTCTGAGTTCCATTTTCAGCAGCCAGCACACACACACAAACCGTGGGGAGGCTGTCATTTAGGAGAGCACGGCCTCAGCCGGGGAGCAAATTGCTTTTTAATCGATCATATTCCCAGTAAAAGCCACTCGCCTGCTTTGCTTTCTATTTCTGGAAGCTGCCTATCTGTGCTCAGTGAGAGTGGGAGAAATTAGACAGTAGTGGGGGGGGGGGGGGGGGGTTGGATGACCACTTCAAGTCAGTAAAAAACAGAATCCTGTTGTCCATGCTTCTCTTAAGTCTAGGCTTGTGTGGATGTAGTTTTGCACTCATTAAAATCACTACAAGGACCGTACAATACTCCTGTGGTTATGAATGATATGAGGGCCGATGGCAAGCTGTTCCTTTGTATCTGAGGAGTGATTCCAGGGCAGGGAAACACGAGTATCACACACTCTTCTATAAGCAACAAACAAGAGAAACCTTCCCCATCATTAAACACCGCTGAGCTACATGTCCTGTGCTTTTATAAAAGCCCAACAATGCTGTAATGTGATCTCAGCTCCAATTTCTAGCCTCTATTTTCAGAGTGATGCCCAGTGTTGAGTCTCACACCGACAGAAGCTACTGTGAAGCGCTAATACATCATGACTCAGACCAATGAGTGTTGGATCCAGGTTGTAAGATGCTGTTGTTTCTCACTAATCTCCCCCTCGGGGCTCTTGAAAAGGAAGTTTAATTCTAATGTTTTGTTCTTCTCATAAAGCATTGAACCCCCCCTCTTTGATAACGCCTCGGTTATAATGGTGTCACATAAAAGATCCTTCAGAATTAGCAGCACATCGGTGAATGAGGACGTCACCGCTGTCAGTTTCCCCTCGAATTGTAAATGTCGTCAGTTTTTCAACAAGACAGGTTCAAAACATTAGCTAGAATTTATTTTTTGGGGTGTGCTTTTTTCTTTCTCTGCAGTGCACCAGAAAATGTATGATTATTTTATATGAGCTTGTAAAAGTTGCAGAGCCAGGACCTACATTAGAAGGTAGCACAGTGACTGTATGAAGTCGCTGTCATAGTTTTCTGGATCAACATTTTTTTTTTTACGGAGGCTTTAAACTCTGAGCACGCTGCAACTAAAAGCAAATATACGGCCCCAATACCAGCAACACATGCAGTGTTAAGAAAAACAACCCTAGTTTATCACAAGCTGTCAAAAGGGTTATCAATTTGCATCATTATCTACTCAAGGTCTTCTTCTTTGTCAGTTATTTAGAAAGAGAATATTTATAGAAATCTTAAGTAAAAATGAAACATGGTTTACACGTAGAGAAGAGACAATGGTCTTTAATGGTCACACATGCAGAGCACACAGCACACACAGTGACATGTGTTATCTACTTTTAACCCATCCTAGTACCAGGAGTTTAGTACCAGGAGCAGTGGGCAGCTTTTGTACAGCGCCCGGGGAACAATGGGAGTGAGGGGGGGTGTCTGGTGCCTTGGTCAAGGGCACCACGGCAGGGCAGGAGGTGAACTGGGACCTCTCCAAGTAGCAGTCCACACTCCATATTTTAGGTCTGGTCTGGGACTTGAACCGGCGACCCTACGGCTCAAGCCCCTACTGACTGAGCCACTGCCGGACAGTAGTACCTTCTCATTTGCAAGTGCCTTCTTCATTTGAAGTCTTAAAAACAAGCATATTTAAAACATGTGTGTAACAAGTTCCTCCACAACATGTTCTAAATATTGGCGTGAACTTAACACCCAAAATGAAATCATATCTGACACCGTTGGAAAGTGCATGTTGGAGAAGTTGTGTCACCGCCACACTTTTTGGTCTTGTCCAAAGATACAACTATTTTGGGATGATATTTGGAGAAACATGCAGCATATTCTGGAGTTACAGATCCCTTTCTCTTTTGTAGTTCTCTACTTGGGTGACCTTCCAGAAGAAATGACGGGGAGTAATAAATACCTTTTGAAAATATTTACTGTAGCGGCAAAAAAAGCTTTTACTCGTAGCTAAGTGGTTACAGTCCGAAGCTCCTTCAATAGATCTTTGGATTGAGATCATTGAAGATATTCATGACATGGAGAGATTGACTTAAATATGACACAGCTCGATGGTCTAAATCAGGGGTGGGCAACTTGGATGGTGGTGGCATTTATGTACTGGCCACCAGGGGGCCGCAGATTCACTTGGCACGCCATTTTTATATGGGCCATTTGCCCATCCCTGGTCTATTACATTACATTACATGTCACTTGTTAGACGCTTTTATCCAGAGCGACTTACATACTCAGTACTGTGGACAATCCCCACAGGAGCACTTTGGGGTGAAGTGTTTCAGGGACACAACGACATGCTGACTGCAGTGGGGTTTGAACCTGATCCGAACACCAACGCACAACCCACTGCGCCACACGCCTCCAAATGGTTGAAATAAATCTCGAAATAAGTGTGATTGTAGATATTCCTTATTCACCTACTGTTGGAAATGCTGAATGTCCGAACCTTGTTTAATTGTGAACAATATTACACCATACATTGATAAACCACTGTCCATCATACAGAAATGTACTTCCTCCAAACTGTACTCGCTGTCTGTAATGTACTGTGCTTGTTGATGTGTTGTTCGTCTGAAAAAAAGGGTTAGGGTTGTTGTATTTTTCTGCAGGTTGATGAGGGTTTCTCCATTTGATTATGATTAAAGTATTATAGTGTTTAGTTTAGTTGACGTGTGTCAAGCTCTCAGGGATACTGACATATCTCAGCTCATTTTGCTTTAACATCTCCAAAATGTAGCGTCTCTGGAGTCCTTTTGATTTTGGCCTTTCACAAACTGTATTAGCTTCTCTGCTCACATAGCTTTCATTCACAATGGCGACGCTGAGGACATGTCACCACTTTTTTAAATGGCTGTCTTTCAAGAAAAAAACGCTGTCCGCCAGAATTATTATTAACTAACAAATGAAAAAGCTTTCAGAGGAAACTACAACAATATATTTTGATTGGACTTCATTTTGTTATTATCCCGACATATTCTGGTTCTCATAGGTTGGTAACACACACACATATATGTAGCTGCCAGCCAGTTTCACTGTATACTTTATAATGTAAACCTCCACAGCAGTCTGACACGGACACATGCTGTGAATAAAAGCACACTTTTACTTACACGATATAAATATGATTACCTATATCTAGAGAGAAGGAATATTATATACAGTATAATGACAAGAAAATAAAGAGTCATCTTTTCAAAGTGCCTGTGGTGAGTTCATTTTGTACCTGCTTGTGTGTATGTAAATCTATGATGTGTGATCTGCTCTTATATCCTGAACACACTCACTTGTTGGTTTTTTCCAGAAATCGTACCAGGTGTATTCATCATCTCATGTAACTCTCAAGAAACATAGAAAGAAATAAGCGTATTTCCTTGTTTAATTGTGAAATATCAAACATGTATTTGTGGTAATAAACATACATATAAACATTCATTCTCTTCTTTCAGGTGAAGCTTCTCCAGTGCGGCTCTGCTGTGATAAATGTCAGCCTGTCCTGATTCTTGCATGGGTTTTTCTCTTCAACCAAAGGTAAGTACTTCCTCTTCCCTTAGCATCTGCATAAGTGGGTCTTTTCTGACCCGGTGAGGTAGTTTTCTTAGAGTATCTTTGTAATTACATTTTTTTAACATTTCATATTCCAGCTATTCCTCAAAAAACATGTTTTGGATATCATGCCATTCAAATTTTAAATTAAAATTTTAAGAAATTATGTGGGTCAAAAATGACCCGCATGCATTTTCTATGAAATTTCGTTTATTTTTCAAAATGTAATTTTTCTTCTAAAATTCTAAATAGTGAAAAATTAAATAGAAAATATTTCTAGTGTGAACCAAAATATAATACTAAATATTATACAAGTGATTTTTCTTAACCAAAATGACAAAAGAACACATAATTCTAATATGGAAGAGTGTAGGGTCCAGACACTCTAAGGGCATCTAAGGGTTAACAGGTGTTTTATTATGACCTTTGACCAATGGGTTAATATATCAGGTGCAGCAACCATGCATTGGCCAGCATCTATTTAATATACTTAACATGTATATGCTGAAAATCCCCAGAAAACTGTAAAAGACAGCACATTATCTAGTAAGACAGGACATGTGTTTTAATGATGGGCTCATAAACCTTACAACTGAGGACAATATGACTTTGGTTTCTTGTTTTATTACAGTAAGTCCAACAGTGTGTTCAATTAACAGGCCCATTTCCAAACACTGGATATAGCTTGAGTACTTTGTTTGGCTACGATGACTCTGCGTTTGCCATTGAGAATGAAGTGGATAAGCTACGTCTCCACTTTATATTATATTCTATATTGTTGCATCGACTCAGTTGTCTTGTCTCTTATCCGTCAGAGAGAAACCATTATTTATTTTATTTGTATTATCATACATTTTACCTCCTTGTGTCTATTGACATGATCAAATGTTTCATTTAGCTGCATGTACCTTTTAAAGTTCTTACCAAATAATCTGAGGGGAATTTCTTGTTGTTTGTTTTAAACTTGTGATGTGTCGTTTTGTAAAGCACTTAGAGCGGCAAGTGCGATATAAATAAAGCTTTATTATTGCTTTTACATCCACAAGAAAACATCAAATGAAAAGCATAAAAGTAATGGCGACAATATCCACTGTCATATTGATTTTTGGAAGACTTTAAAAGTAACTGCTGTGTGTCTCGAGATCATTCCTGGGTTGCTCTTGTCTTCCAAAGTCATGATGTTTTTCTTTCAAAGAGGTTACGTTTTTCTGCCACCTGACTACAATTCAGGCCGTGATGTTGCCCGGGAGCTGTAAACTGAGCTTGAACCTATTTGTGCAAGCTCTGCTCTCGGGAAAAAAAGAAGGAAAAAAGCAGTTCAGCAAATGGTCAGCGTTTTCTTTGGTCACTTTGACAAGCGGACTCTCTTTAGCCGCTGATTTACAGGAACGCTGAGTCGCTACATTATGCTGTTCCTTTTCTGCTCCTGAGAGGTATCTGGTTTCTGGCAGCTTAAAGCGGTCAATGGCGTCGGACAAGTGGATTCTGGTCAGGTGTTGTTTCTGTCTCCGTCGTGTACTTTTTGTTTGATGAGACTGAGTGACTGCCAGAGATGACAAAAGTACACACGTCCTTTACTCAAGTGGAAGTACAGATACTCGTGTTCTACTCTGGTGAAAGTAGAAGTACTGACTAAACTTCTTTACTCAAGTCAAAGTAAAGAGGCTTTGAAGTGTACTTCAGTGAAAAGTATCCATAACTAGCAGCTGTTTTAAAGAGTACCTGACCTCTAGGGATGGGTATCGTTTGAAATGTATCGATTCCGATTTCGATTCCGGTTCTGCTTATCGATTCCGGTTCTTATCGATTCCCCGTTTCGATTCTAAAATTGTAAAATAAAGAGGTCAAACGTTTAGATAACAAAAATATATTTATTCTTAAAAGCTTTAACTGAAATTGTTACTAAAAAATATACATGCAATACAAATGTATTGCACAATAGCTGTGCTTTATTTTAACTGAGCTATGCCTGTGGCAAGCTATTAACAGGCATTACACTTTGCCTTTTCTTTTTTAGTGTAGTGGAGCCTCACTTCAGAGTGTTTACCGCGACCTATCTTTGGTGTTATGAAGTGACTGAGCTCGTGAAATGTCTACGGGAGGGCGGGGGAGCATCGCTGCGGGGCAACTGTGGACCTCTGTCGCCTGTCAGCGCAATTTACATGATGCCGTTTAAAAAAATGAAGGGCGGTGCCGGCCGTCAGCGTACCGAGCCGGCCGTCAACGGCCCGCTGACGACCGGCCGTTCTGTGATTCTCCAGGTCCGCCCTGTATTCCACCGGGTCACCGCAGCACCGCGGTGCAGACGGACCCGCTGGAATACAGGGTCTACCGCGTTTAGGAACCGTTAAGCAGAACCGAAATTGTGTATTTTGTATGGGTACCCGGTACCCGGCATTTTCTTATCGGTTCTCATCTGGAACCGAGTTTCGGTTCCCAACCCTACTGACCTCCCTTTATATTAATAGAACAATAATGTCATTGTTAGCTAATGAATGTTTCCATGCTGAACAACGGCAACATGACAACGTTTCCATTGGTCCCTCTTCTTTAGAGAAGACCAGGAAATGATGGATACACGGATCGTGTTCAAATCAATAGGCACGCAATGACTCTAAAGAATAATGATCACGCACCAAACACACATTCAGACTAAAGGAACCAGCTGTTTGGAAAATGAGAGAAGTAGAAAGTACAGGTATTTGTGTTCAACATGTGAGAAGTAGAAAGTACAGGTATTTGAGTTCAACATGTAAGAAGTAGAAAGTACAGGTATTTGGGTTCAACATGTGAGAAGTAGAAAGTACAGGTATTTGTGTTCAACATGTGAGAAGTAGAAAGTACAGGTATTTGGGTTCAACATGTAAGAAGTAGAAAGTACAGGTATTTGTGTTCAACATATAAGAAGTAGAAAGTACAGGTATTTGTGTTCAACATGTAAGAAGTAGAAAGTACAGGTATTTGAGTTCAACATGTAAGAAGTAGAAAGTTCAGGTATTTGTGTTCAACATGTAAGAAGTAGAAAGTACAGGTATTTGGGTTCAACATGTAGAAAGTACAGGTATTTGGGTTCAACATGTAAGAAGTAGAAAGTACAGGTATTTGGGTTCAAAATATAAGAAGTAGAAAGTACAGGTATTTGGGTTCAACATGTAAGAAGTAGAAAGTACAGGTATTTGTGTTCAACATGTAAGAAGTAGAAAGTACAGGTATTTGGGTTCAACATGTAAGAAGTAGAAAGTACAGGTATTTGTGTTCAACATGTAAGAAGTAGAAAGTACAGGTATTTGGGTTCAACATGTAAGAAGTAGAAAGTACAGGTATTTGTGTTCAATATGTAAGAAGTAGAAAGTACAGGTATTTGAGTTCAACATGTAAGAAGTAGAAAGTACAGGTATTTGTGTTCAACATGTAAGAAGTAGAAAGTACAGGTATTTGAGTTCAACATGTAAGAAGTAGAAAGTACAGGTATTTGAGTTCAACATGTAAGAAGTAGAAAGTACAGGTATTTGAGTTCAACATGTGAGAAGTAGAAAGTACAGGTATTTGAGTTCAACATGTAAGAAGTAGAAAGTACAGGTATTTGGGTTCAACATGTAAGAAGTAGAAAGTACAGGTATTTGGGTTCAACATGTAAGAAGTAGAAAGTACAGGTATTTGGGTTCAACATGTAAGAAGTAGAAAGTACAGGTATTTGGGTTCAACATGTAAGAAGTAGAAAGTACAGGTATTTGGGTTCAACATGTAAGAAGTAGAAAGTACAGGTATTTGGGTTCAACATGTAAGAAGTAGAAAGTACAGGTATTTGAGTTCAACATGTAAGAAGTAGAAAGTACAGGTATTTGAGTTCAACATGTAAGAAGTAGAAAGTACAGGTATTTGTGTTCAACATGTAAGAAGTAGAAAGTACAGGTATTTGGGTTCAACATGTAAGAAGTAGAAAGTACAGGTATTTGGGTTCAACATGTAAGAAGTAGAAAGTACAGGTATTTGGGTTCAACATGTAAGAAGTAGAAAGTACAGGTATTTGGGTTCAACATGTAAGAAGTAGAAAGTACAGGTATTTGGGTTCAACATGTAAGAAGTAGAAAGTACAGGTATTTGTGTTCAACATGTAAGAAGTAGAAAGTACAGGTATTTGGGTTCAACATGTAAGAAGTAGAAAGTACAGGTATTTGTGTTCAACATGTAAGAAGTAGAAAGTACAGGTATTTGGGTTCAACATATAAGAAGTAGAAAGTACAGGTATTTGTGTTCAACATGTAAGAAGTAGAAAGTACAGGTATTTGGGTTCAACATGTAAGAAGTAGAAAGTACAGGTATTTGTGTTCAACATGTAGAAGTAGAAAGTACAGGTATTTGTGTTCAACATGTAAGAAGTAGAAAGTACAGGTATTTGTGTTCAACATGTAAGAAGTAGAAAGTACAGGTATTTGTGTTCAACATGTAAGAAGTAGAAAGTACAGGTATTTGTGTTCAACATGTAAGAAGTAGAAAGTACAGGTATTTGTGTTCAACATGTAAGAAGTAGAAAGTACAGGTATTTGTGTTCAACATGTAAGAAGTAGAAAGTACAGGTATTTGTGTTCAAAATGTAAGAAGAAAAAGTCGTCAGAAAAATAAGTAGTGGAGTAAAGTACTGATACCAGAAAAAATGTACTTAAGTACAGTGACAAAGTATTTGTACTCCACTACTTCCCACCTCTGGTTACTGCGCTGGCTCTTCTTGAGGGAGCCGTCCATCACCTGATATGCAGTTATTGAAAGCAATGGCACAGTAGATTAACACAACTCTACCACCTCCTTCGGGCGATGATTCTCCCCCGGTCAGTGCCTCTACTTTTCATCGGAGATGTAGGACTTCTGGGGAAAACACTGGGTGATTCCTCCCTATCATGTGATGCCTCACTGCCTGTGTGCTTTTTGAAGTGATGAGCTAAATCACATTCGTGTTAGTTTGTTTATGAACTCTAATTTCATTTCCC